CCAGTGCTCCTCTGGCCGTGGTGGGAGTGGGGCAGCCTTGGGGCTCCAGCAGGTGAGGGGAGTGAAAGGGGCAGAACCTCGGGCAGAAGGGGTGGGGCCAGGGTGCGAGCCTCCCTGAAAGGGGGTTTCACCTGCCACTCATGGGTGTGACACTAAGAGTCCTTCAGTGTTGACCGGAAAAGGGTGCATTGTTCTATGAGGGCAATGACTCGTTTACACTGCTCTATATACCATACGCTGAAATGAAAGTACAATATTTATACAATACTTATATTCCAGTTGATTTATTTTATAAAATTATATGGTAACAATGAGAAAGGAAGCAATTTTTAAGTAACAGTTTGGCTGTGACACTTTTGTATGGGTATGTCCGATTTTGTAAGTGAATAGTTTTTAGGTGAGGTGTAACTTGGGGGTAGGCAAGACAAATCAGACTCCTGAAAGGGTTAAAGTGGTCGGGAAATGTTGAGAGCCACTGGCATATAGAACCAACAGAGCGAGCACACTGGAGAACAAACAATGGGGCACGTCAGCACTTTACTGAACTATAACTGAGGGACAAGAATTGCACCCTGCAGTCCTTCAGGAAGCAAACAGGAGAGCACGTTTTGCATTCATGAAAAGAGGGATCCCAGCAATGGTGGTTGGTGACCCTGGGAGAATGCTTTAGCAGTGGATTTTACTTGTTAATGTTAAACTCAGACTATCTGAATCCTGTTATATCTGATGTTTGACGTGTAACTTGTTGGTCTTATTTCTTCGCTCATTCTCCCTTAAATCTTAGGGCTTGTCTACACTGAGCATGTGGAGAGAGAGAGAGAGAGAGACAGAGAGATGCTTAGGGGGTTGAAAGCTAGCTAACAATGAGTCAGAGAGTTGAGAAATTCAAAGGTGAATTTTGCAGCCATTGAACCTGAGATATACACAGACACTGAGTTCAACCATGGTCCTGGGTAGAAATCAGATTTTTTTAAAAAGGTCTGACTCTGTCAAAGGGCTATTATTTATTTTGGGTAAATGCAATCTTAGTACAGCAGAAAATTCAGAAGGTTCTCAAACTATGTTTGAAAATAAAGTACACGCACAAATGCTTATTTGGAGGGGAGGGGGAATTTGTCTCTACTCATCTTTATAGATTGCAAGTTCTTTGGGGCAGGGACCTCAGCACCTGTAAGCTGCTGATTTGTGTATCATGTTTGTTTTCTTGGAACAGGGAACTGGGCGCACTGCCTTCTTCCCTGCGTGCCGCACACACATAGCTCCCGGCTGCAGAGTGGTGGATGAGGACCCCAGAGCAGTCGTTCACATCAGCGCAGGGCTGACAGCTGCCCCCACCCCAGCTGACAGCTGGACTAACTGCTGGAGCCCTCCTGCCCCAGTGCTGATATCCTCAGATGTCAGCCAGGCTCCAGGCTCACAGCGGGGGCCCCCAGCTGTCAGTCGGGAGCTGGGATCACAGCTGGAGAGACAGCCCAAGGGGACAGCCCAAGCTGTGAGCCTGGGGCAGGGTCAGGTCACAGCAGGGAGCCGGCAAGCTATGAGATTGAGGGCTGCTAGTATTTTGTTTCCTCTCTGGCTTCATGGACGGGGTGGGGGTGGGGTCCAGCTGTGAGCCCGAGCGGCTGCCAGTGCCCCACAATGCCAGACTTCAGTCGGTGAAAGCGCCCCTGCACCGGTGGCAGAAGGAGGGCAGCGTGGGCATCAGCAATGGATTTAATGGCTGCAGTGCCTGTAACTTAACTTAAGTAACTGCGACCTAACTTAAGTCAACCTAATTTTGTAGCATAGACAAGCCCATTGAAATTGATGGGGCAGTTCCCTCCTCTCAGAGCTATTGGCTCAGGATCTCTATATCAGTTATGCTCGGGCCACATTTTCAAATGTATCTTTTCAGTCATCTGGGCTGGAAGGTTCCTTTCTGGTTGCTGATCTTTTTTAATCATGTGACTCCAGCGATGGGTCCCTAGGGAATACCCCATAGCACCTGTGTTTAAACCCACTCCTGTATGTTCCATGCAGCAGAGCGAGGGTGGCTGTGTCCATGATTCATGTGGACGCCCGGCTGGCAGTGCCTGGGCTGTCAGGGGTGTGGTGGGAGCAGCTCGTTCCTTCCATTCCTGCCTGGCAGCAGCTCGAACACATCTTGCTTCAATCTTCTGTGCAAGGAATGTGCCTCACCCAGAGCTCTGGTACCCACCTCTCTCTAAAGAACAATGCGGGGTGACAGGCTGGGGCAGCATCAGTGGCCAGGGCTCCCTGCACCTGCCTAGAGGAATGAGCCCGCAGGGCAGAGATTTAGGTGGAAGCAGAAATCAGGGGAGAAAATCTGGGAAACTGGGAGACTCTGTGGCTCTCAGAGACTCTGACTGTGTTCCTACCTTGTATTTCTGGGCAGCCTCCTCCATGAGAAGCACCGTGTGAGATCTGTGCTAGGGGGATCTCTCACAAACCACACACACTGCTTCCCTGGCCTTGTCACAGAACAGATCTGGGGCTTTGTTGTGCATCTCACACAGAGTCTCTTTTCCTGGTTTGAAATCCAGTTGTTTGATTTTTTCCACTATATTTGCTAGCTGATAATTATTCTGGAGAGCCCTTTCTGGGTCTGGGCTCTGTAGGTAGGGCAGCAAAAACGGTCAGAGCCCAGCTCTTCCCATTTCTCCCAGTACTGAGTGATGCAGCCTCAGCAGAAGTTGTGACCATAGTGTGTGGTCACTGGGTCTGCCAGATATTCCAGACAGATGGGACATTTGGTTTCCTCTTGGATTTCCCATACAGGAGCCACTGAGGCCATGGCTGCTGGGATCTCTGGTCTTCTGTTCTATCTGCATCAGAAATGGTTTTTCTGAAAATGGGAGGTCCCTGTCCCAGCTCATATCAGCTGCACAGGTGCAGAATAAGGTGAAGAGAAAGGAGAGCCCAGGAGGAGGAGCTGAAGAAAGATTAGGAAAGAAGGAAGCAGGAATTACATAGGCAAGGAATGGGAGCAGTGGGGTATAAAGAACAAGAAAGGGAATGAAAGGAAAAGGTTGGGAAGGAAACAAACAAGGACACAAAAGCTTAGAGTCAGGGTCTGTCTGAACAGTATGTGTCCAGGCAGGGGTCGGGCTGGATTGTCCTCCAGCGGCTAGCCCCAGCTGCCCCCTTGGTGCCGTGACTGCACTGCTCTTGGTAGTGTGGTCAAACCAGCAGTCAGCATGTGTACATGTACCCAAGCTGGGAATCACACCTGCCAGGTGCTATGTAGACGTACCCTCAATCAAACCAGGCCATTTTACATTCACAATGAGAGTGTCCACAGTCACACACAGACTTGCACTGAAACAACACGAGGTGGGAACTAAACCGTATTAAGTGATTTCAGTGACAATGTGCATGTAGAAGAGCCTTGGCTTGGCTGTGTCTTGCTGAACATCTAGCCCCCCGAGACCAGATTAAGGTCAGAGGCAGCTGGTGCGTGCTAGTGACAAGGCATGAAAATGTAAACAGCTCATTAATCAGGAGGAACAACCCTTGAGCTGAAGGGTGATATTATGGTAAATCCTCTTTATGACATCAGTCTAAAGGTCACAGCCCAGCCCCTTCAAAACGCCAGCTAAGAGCTGGAAAGAAGATTTTACGTTTAATCTTTGTAAAACTCCATGCACAGAAGGGAAAGTAACAATCCTACCCACTCCCCACCACCATCCCCCACCCCATTCCAGATGCCCCAGTCTCTTCCTGTCATTTTTTCTCCTTGGCCCAATACTGAGCCCATAATCACTGTGGACTAGGTCAGCTGGGGGGAAATACAAGCCAGGGATCCTTGTTTGGGTTTTGTCTGACTCTGGGCAGAGGAGTGTCAGGCCGGGGAGACGGGACAACGGGGACTGCTCAGCACACAAAGCTGGACATGCTGAAGTCCACAATGAGCAGCAATCTGCCCCTCTGCACAGGCTCTTTGCTGCTGAAGCTCCCCGCAAATGTTTCCCACCAATGCATTTGCCTCCACGGGTCTAGATTCTGACCCAGGTTGTACCATCGCTCCTTTGACCTCAGCAGTCAGCCAGTGTTTGGGGCCTTGCTAGGTTCTTCCATTGGGAGGAGAAACTGATTATAGGAGTCAGGTATTTCTTTGGTGCAATCTTTATTATTTACAATGTCCACACATGCCCGTGCCGGGTACAAACAAACAGCAGCCCACAGTTTCCTTACTCAGAACTCCACGTCTACGTTTCTAGGGAACCCTGTGCCTGAAGCAAGCTCTGTCTCTCCGTTTCCTCCCGGGATCACACTCCCGACTGCTTCTCTTGGCTTTCTGCCTCACGCACACCAAGCTGCCTGCTCTACATTTAACACTTAGATCAACCTGGTGACTTTATTCAGGGCTAGGAAACGTGTGCTCCGAGTACCACAGCTAGATCGACCTAACCCCTGATGCAGACAATGGAATTCCGCTGCTGACCTGGCTGCAGCCTCGCAGAAAGTGGGATTAACTAGAGCGATGGAAAAACCACTTCTGTCAATGTAGGACGCATCTACACTAGGGCACTTCAGGCACACAGCTGTAGCGTTGTAGCTGTGCCACTCTAGCCACTGTAGTGTAGACACACCATAATTCATCCGGAGGCCTAGTCCATACCCAAACCTTAGGTCAGTCTAGCTACATTGCCCAGAGCTGTGAAAAATGTGATGTAGTTAGGTCTATCTAACCCCAATATAGACGCAGATAAGTCAAGGGAAGAATTCTTTGTTGCCCTAACTACTGCCTCTCTATCAGTGTAGGATGTGTCTATGCTAGCCATTCATTTCTACTGGATATTGGGATGAATGCACACTCCCCAGTCCCTGGCTTTCCCTCTGCTAGTATCCCTGCTGGTGCGGAGTCTCCAGCTTCTCCCCAAACACCAATTAATTCTGTGTCCCTGCCACCCCCACATCTGCCTGTCCCCAGCCCAGCTGTCAATTCTACCCCCAACCCCACATCACTTCTGCCCCCAGCCCCTCCCTCAGTTCTGCCCCTGCAGCCCCCACATCTGCCCCTCAGGGCGCCTCTGCTCCTCCTGCAGCTCCAGGGTACTTCCCCCTCCCCGTCTCATCCCTGATTCTGCACAGAGGGACGGGGGAAGAGCTTCCAGGGGTCATAGAGCTAAGAGGCCAGATGGCTGGGAAGACGGGAGTCCTCCAGGCCACAGGGGCTAGGGTGACTGTGGCTAGAAAAGCCCATTGTTTCATTCCCAGTGGCCTGTTCACCCCTCTTTCCCCCTCAGTGGCACCGTCTGACCCAGGATCCCCAGAGTCCTCCTAGATCATAGAGGACAATGACAAACAGGCTGCACAGTCCCTGGGGCAGTGATAAGTTTGGCTTCTCTACCCCGCTCACTCTATGCTCTCTATGGTTTGACAGTCCAGAGGCTGCACAGAGTTGAGACCAGAAGCAACCTCCAGGGTCATAGAGACTAGGGTGTGTGAGGCTAGAGAGGCTGATCTCAGGGTCCCCAGTGGAATATTCCCCCTGCCCCCGGGTGTCTCAGGGACACAGTCTAAGCCTGGATCTCCACACCCGGAGGCAGGGGCGGATTCTCTCCCCAGGGATGGAGCCCGGCGGGAAAGTGAAGATCGGGGCCTCGTCACCAGCATCGATAAATGTCACCTGCCCCCGGTCACAGTCCAGACAAACCCGGATCCTGCTGGGGGCCCAGCTCAGGGGCAGGGGGGTCACAGGGGAGGTAAGAACCCGGAACTGACACAGCCACTGCTCCACAGCCCAGATCCCCCCTCATGGCCATGGTTGATCCGTCCCTTCTTCCCCACAGTCTCTCTGGCCACCCCCACAGCCCAGTATCGCCCACCCTCCACCTCCACCTCCCAGCAATGTCTCCCCGAGGTGAATCCCTCACAGCCCAGCACCCAGGGCTCAGTGTCAAATCTCTCAGGGTTGTCGGGCAGATCCTGCCGTGTGTCTCCCCATCTCACACTTTTCCGATCCTCAGACAGGACGAGTTGGGGATGAGCCGTGTCTGGATCCAGAGTCACATTCGCTGGAGAGAGAGAGAGAGAATCAGAGCATTAGGGGCAGAGCTCAGCCCTGGGGGAGGCTGGGACCATTTCTCACTCTCCCCAGCAGCACCGTTCTGGCTGGGTCAGTCCTGGATCCCAGGGAGCTGCCTCTGTCCTGGGCACCTGAGACTGAGCAGAGATGTCACTGCAGTTCCCCCGTCTCTGTAATAAGAACAGGAGGACTTGTGGCACCTTAGAGACTAACAAATTTATTAGAGCATAAGCTTTCATGGGCTACAGCCCACTTCATCGGATCCATAGAAGTTCCATTCTATGGATCCGATGAAGTGGGCTGTAGCCCATGAAAGCTTATGCTCTAATAAATTTGTTAGTCTCTAAGGTGCCACAAGTACTCCTGTTCTTTTTGCGGATACAGACTAACACGGCCGCTACTCTGAAACCTGTCTTTGTAATGGGACCCACTTCACTAGTTTCTCATTTATTGCAGAGGCTTCAGCTCCCAGCTTCCCATTCTGGGGCTGCTCCATTCCTAGCGGCACAGATATAGACAGGAAGATGTCAGAAGCTTTGATTGAGAAGGGAGCAGAAGAGGCAGGTACCAGCTTTAAACCTGAGAGGGAATCTCCCTCTCCTAACGCAGCCTCCACTCCCACGCAGGGAACCAGAGAGGACGATGCAGCATTGGGGAAGAGCTGCTTAACACCAGTGAGTAGGAGGTGGCATTAGGTGGGGTAGCCCCATCCCCAGCCCAGAGAGAAGGGAGGAGCTGGCAGCGTCAGAGAGAGAGCACCTCCCCAATCCAGGAAGCAGTGAGTAGCTCTAATGGGAGAGCCCAGTCCTGCCCAGAGGAAAGGCAAGATGTTGGAGAAGAGCGATAGGGAGACCCCTTGCCCTGGAGTAAAGCAGAGGGAGGTGTCAGCCTCAGGGCAGAGAGTTCTGTCCGGGTGCTGCTCAGTGAGAGTGTTTCTGTTCATCAGCGTGGACATGAACTTGATGTCAGGATTTTTTGTGTGATGTCAGCTTGGGATCTCCCCAGGAGTTCCTGAACCTTGGTAGAATTGGGGGTGGGGGGTAACAGGTCCTGCAGCCTGTGTCCCCACCCCCTCCTTGGCCTCGCCCCACCGACATCCCGCCCCAGGCCAGGTTGGGAGCCTGGGCCTCTGTGGAGAGCCCCTGACCCTCCACCTGCCTTGGGCCGAGGTCCAGGGGGCCTGAGAGCAGTCCCTGGCCTATGTCCCCGCTCCCTGGAGTGCGCCACCCAGGGCGGGTGGACGGCCCAAGGCCCCCCCGCCAAGGAGCCGCTGCCAGAGGGGTGTGCCAGTCGCTTTTGGAGCCGTGCCGCCTGAGATAAGCGAAGCCTCCCTGCCCCCCTCCCGCACCCCAACCCCCTGCCCCAGCCCAGAGCTCGCACCCAAACTTCCTCCCAGAGCCTGCACCCCTCACCCCCTCCCACACCCCAACTCCCTGCCCCAACCCAGAGCTCACACCCAGCCCTCAAACTCCCTCCCAGAGCCTGACCTCCGCACCCCCTCCTGCACCCCAACCGCTGCCCCAATCAAGGTACCTCACTTTATTTTCCTTTACTTCCTATTACTTATAATATAGGAGGAGGATGAAGAAAAAAAGAATGAAAAACAGGAGGGAGATAAGAGAGAATGATCTTTTTCTTGGCTGGGTCCCGAGGCGGGGCGGGGGGGGGGAAATAAAGCTGCACACAGGGACCCACTAACTCTAAATCCGCCACTGCCTGCTCCCAAACTATGCCCATGTTAAAAAGTAGGGGGGCCTGACCATCCCACTTCTAAAAGTGGTATGGCCTGGCCCCTGGATCGCCTCACTGTTTAGTGTGTTATTTTTAGGGCTGTAAGAAGAAAAGGAGTACTTGCGGCACGGCTGTTACTCTGAAACCTTTTAGGGCTGTGTGTGTCACGGTTGCTGTTGGTTTGGTTGATGACTTTAGCTACCATCTCATGAAGATGTTTTCACTGGAATTTTCTCTTAAGTTAAAGACAATCTCCACCTGCTAACTCACCCTGTCTGTGTGCTTGTAGGTATTTCCCTCTTTTTGTCTCCAGTGCAGACAGCAGAGTGTCTGGAGGGCAAAGGATAAGAGAGGTGAGATTTCAGGCTTTCATATTATAACAGCATCCCCACTCATCATGACAGGGAAACACTCAGGTAATTAATATAAAAAGGTCAGAAACCTTCTATTTCCTCTCTCTTCAGGCATCTCCCAGCAATGGAGCCAACATCCATGAAGCCTCACAACCATCCCAGGATACAAAATATGTAAATGTGATTTACTTTTCCCTCCTCATCACCCCCCCCCCCCCCCCCGTTCAGACTCCAGTTGCTTTCTCTCATTCACTTGCTGCCTTTTGTTGTAACCTAGACCCAGATCATACAAAGACTTTGACATAAAAGTAACTTTGCCCACTTTGGTCCCTTTGACACTAATGGGATGTTCAGAGTTTGTGAAATCCTGGCTCTATTTGTGAGCTGTTGGGTCTGTTTATTCAGCATCTCTACAAAGAGCAGCACCATGGGGCCCTTGTCCTCCATAGGCAGAAATATGCATCATAATAAAATCATTTTATCCATGTGAACATTGAGGCAGGGAGAAGGTTGACTCCATGAGCCAGATTCACCCCTGTACCGGCAAAAGGAGAGAGGGGAGAGGCCATTTGTGACTCCGCTATTCAGTGGCTGCAGGGGCCGGTGCAGACCTTGGTGCAGGCTGAGGAAGTTCTGAAGCCAGCCAGAGCTACCTCCCTCTGACAATGGGCCCTGTGTATCTTGCCCAGCGTGCAGAGTGCCAGAGGCCCAGCTTTACATGGCCCATGTCCCTCTGTCCCTGGTCCACCCCATCCCTCTTCCACCCGCCCGCACCACCCCACCCCATTCCCAGCCCTCTCAGGAACCCGCCTTCTGCCTGCAGCTGCTGGGGAGGAGGCACCAGAGGCTGCTGTGCTGGAGGGATCCCTCACCGTGGGGGAGGGGCTTTCTCCTTCCCTGCAGCCCATGTACCCAGACTAGCTGCCATATGAGACCAGAGCCCAGTGATGGGCTGGTTCCAGATTTAACAAGTAGCCTTTTATTTAGGTTCTAGATTTTGGGTGCCGACCTTTAGGGGCCTGGTTCTCAGAGGGGTTGGGCACCTGCAGCTCCCACTGACTCCCCCTGCAGCTGTGGATGCTACACAGCTCTGGAGCACCTGCCCTGCAGCTCTCTAGTTGGGAGAGAGTCACTCAGGTGCCCCAAATTCGGACATTTTGTGATTGTGAGCTTTAATGCTGTGACCTTTGGTAAGTCATGAAATTATTGTGAGACATCCTGATGCCTGGGGCTCTGCTACATCTGCTCAAAGTATCTGCTTTCCACTAGTTATTAGCTTAAGTATTGAGAATTGGTATCAAGGGCTATTTCTTATGCATAAGTTTGGACAGACGGAGATTGTGCATTTATACTGACTGACTTAGCTTTGGCCTGGTGTGTCGTTTGCTTGACATAAGGGAAATGTTGCCTTAAGTGACCTTGTTATTAAGTGATCTGTTCATAAGTTACTTAGTGGGACAAAGAGATGTTTTGACCGCACAAGGTGCTTAAAGACAACAGGCACCAAAACATACTGCCAAGGAGCAGCTAGCAAAGTCCAAAAACCCCCATGTGGAGAAAAGGGTCAAAGTGACCTGTGCAGATCACTGTGTACTGAGTGATAATGAACGAATCAGAAAAGAGAATAACTTGAAAATAGCTTGGACAGCAAAAGCCCTGCCAATTAGAAAGTTCATGCATGTTTAGTGTATGAGTTATACAAGATACTATTAATAACATACAAAGGTGATTGGAAAAGAACTAATAAATATACAATTTGGATGCGTGTAACACGTAAGACATTGTAAAGGGCAGACGGAGCATCATAGGAGAAATGTATCATGACCTGCCTATGCCCCTGAAGAAGGTAACTGGGCAGTATTTCTTTCAGGATGTCTGTCATTTCTTACTTGAATAGTAATTGTGATGGCAAGACATGCTTTTGGAACAAATAAGGGGTTGAATTAATCAACCTGAGTGACTTGCACCCCAAGTGTGTGGCATTCTCACCCAACAATTAAATAGATGCATAATCTAATTATGAACCAATAGACCAGTGCCATTCGCCTCCAACAGTCTCAGACACTGATCCCAGTTTCCCATCCTAGATTCCTTCTAAGTACCTTTGAACTTTCTTAGAGCCTCCGATAGCGCAATAGTTTTCTGGGAGAAACCACTGACTCGCTCTTCCAGGTCAGGAGAAATCTCCTCCGGCTGCTGGAACTTCCCCTTCTCACACCTGGAGAGAAAATTTCACATGATTATATTTCATTTCGTGACTTATTATAAATTCTTGCTGGTGAGTCGCCACTCTAATGGGCCTGGAGTTAGAATTCCTCTACTTCTCCCAGCCTCAGAACAGGTGCAACATTCCCCTCCAAGGACCCATTAATCTTCTTCAACTCTGGCCTGGAGAGACCTGCTCTGAGGATAAAAGGGGAATTGAGTCTCTATGGCCAATTCACTCCATGGCCTCCATGCTCTGAGGGACAGCAAGTTCCCAGGTAAAGTGCTGTAGAAATCTGCCCACTAGGAACTAGACTGAGACACCAACTCCCCACTCCTCAGTTCATTCCACACAGGTCTCCAAACAGTTCTCAGGTGGGGAAGACTCTTGAGCACTGCTGCCCTGGGCTGAATGGTGACCAGGGCCCCAGCAGTGACAGGTCCATATTCCATCCCCACAATCCTGAGGCAGCCTCTAGGAAATACTTGAGGTCAGTCTTCCCCACTGAATGGATAATTCCAGAGTCTTCTTTACAAAGGTGAGAACCTCAGGATGAAGCTGATCAGAGAGATTTGTATCCAACATGTGACCTTCACCACACATTCTGTTGTAGAGCCCTGGGGAGATGTGGTACTAACTGTGATGGGCTCCCCGGGGTACAGCCTGGGACTGTGAGACTGCTGCACCCCCTTAATTCTCTCCAGCCTGGGCTGTCTCTCACAGTGCCTTGCTCGTGACAAGCAGCAAGCCCCTCCAGGCGTTGTTATCACTCAGCACAGCAGCATGGGGAGCCCCACACCCAGCTAGATTGCCTGAATGCTCCCAGAGCCACTCACACATCACACAGAGAAAAGCACCAGCCAGATCCCCCCACCCCACATCCCAGATTCCAGCACCCAGCACTGTACCGCAGGACTATACCGTCTATTTTATTATTTGGTTCACCACTTCATCAAGGGAAAGCGGATATACACCAGCCTTTGCAAAACCTGAGCAGATTTCCCACACACTTCATACAAACTCGCTGGTAAAGATAACCAGTAAAAGAAGTTTATTGACTACAAAAGATAGATTTTAAGTGACTATAAGTGATAGACAAAAAAAGTGAGAGTTAGTTACCAAAATACAATAAAATATAAGCACGCAGTCTAAACTCTCAACACTATTAGACTGGGCAACATCTAGATTAAGCATTTTTTCTCACCCCACTGGATATTGGAATTCATAGTGCACAGATTTCACCCTTAAAATCTGGGCCAGCCTGCTCTGTTGGAGTCTTAAGCCTTCTCAATGTCTTGGTTGCTTGCAGCATAGGTGGAGGCAGGAGAAAGGCCAAGCATGGGCTCCCTGTGTTCTGTTTTACACCCTTAGCCCATGTGCTTGGAGAACACAAGTCCAGGCATGTCTCTGGTGGGCATTGCTGAGTCCACAGGCAAGGCTGAGCAATTGCCCTGGTGTGGCCTTATGCAAGTGAGTCATCGCATTGTAGCTCCCTTGCTGGATAATATCTGGTGGTGTCTGTTCAGTACATACCCAGGTGTTGGTTACCTCCCTTGTCATTTTCTCTGGATAGCTAGTATCTGGGTGCCTCCCGAACCCACAGCATATTTTAGTGACAAGCATACAACACATTCTCATAACTTCATATGTATTGATGATATACACATTTAGATGGCACAATGGGTTTCAGCAGATCATAACCTTTCCCGTGATACCTCACGTGGCATGCTTTATGTGCAATATCACAATTATATGTAAATGAGGACTCTGGGGTTACAGAGTGCTCCCCCGAGGTATAGAAAGTCACACTAACATCACCACCAAGCTCTTTCCCAGTGTTGTGAAATGTGAGGGGGAGGGAGAGAGAGCCACGTACCTGCTCAAGATGCTTCTGACATCCTATAGGAGAGAGAGAGAGAGAGGGAATTTCAGTCCCATGTGACACGCACACACAGGGGATCCCAGGGAAGGGATTCTTCAAATATGGGGAAGAGAGGCCCTGCCCTGACCCCAGGCCATGGATTGGAAGGGACCTCAGGAGGTCATCTAGTCCAACCCCCAGCTCAAAGCAGGACCAATCCCCAATTTTTGCCCCAGATCCCTAAATGGCCCCCTCAAGGATTGAACTCACAGCCCTGGGTTTAGCAGGCCAATGCTCAAACCACTGAGCTATCCCCCCGATCAATGTGTCTGTAATGCTCCAAAGAACAGGAAAGCACACGCCAAGTTACACTGAGGATTCCAACTGCTGGACTCTAGTTCTTACGATTCAGAAGCCCACCCTTCCCCGTGTGGGGTTCTGGGATGTTTCTAACCAGAGGCGTCGGCTTCCAATTGTCCCTGGGGTGCTCAACCCCAGACCCTGCCCCCACTCCACCCCTTCCCCCAATGCCACACCCCTGCCCCTCCTCTTCCTGCTCCCACTCTGCCCCCACCCTGCCTCTTCCCCGCCTCTTTCTGCGCCCTCCCCCAAGCACACCCTATTCCCGATCCTCCTCCTCCCTCCCAGCACCTCCTGCACACTGCGGAACAGCTGATTGTGGCAGACAGGAGGCACTGGGAGGGAGGGGAGCTGGCTGCCGGTGGGTGCTAAGCACCTGCTAATTTTTTTACATGGGTGCTCCAGCCATGGAGCCACAGAGTCGGCATCTCTGTTTCTCACTCAGTCTCACAGGCAGGAATTCACTCGCTGGCTTCTGACACTTCCCCTCCATCTCACTGATCAGCTCACTGAGGCGGGAAATCTCTTCTGAGCATTTACTGAAGTTTTCATTTTGTATCCTCACAATCTCCTTGTCCAACTTCTCCAGCTGGGACAACAGGAGTCGCTCTTGTTCCTCCAGGAACCACCGTAGTTGCTGAAATTCAGACACAATCTTCTGCCTCTCGGTTTGTGTTTGTTTCTGTATAAAAATAGGGAAAGGGCTAGTCAGGGACATGGATGGAGCCTGGGGCCCTTTCATGGAGAGCTGCGTGTGCGGGAGGGAGAACTTTGTTGAAAATCCTAAGATTTCTGACATTTGACTCTACCCTATGGGTACTAGGCAGAGGATTCTCTCACACCTTCCCCTTTGGCCCCGTACCTCTGAAAGGGATGTTTCCATGTCTGTCACGTTAGCATATTCTGTTATTCACGGTCTCTGAGAACTCCGACCCACAGCAGCAGGCGGCAGGACTCAGCACTACACTGACAGACATGCCAGGGGAGTTAAACAAACATTTTAACAATGCCAAGCAATCACCAGACACAGTGGACAGCACTTCATATGTGACATTCAGTTCACTTGTGGGGATTTCTATGAAAGCCACAAGGGCTAGACATTCACTCATTAACTGAAATGGAAGCTTAGGGCTTGTCTACACGTGAATCTAACCCAGGAATCCACGATCATAGGGAAGCACACACACGTCAATGTTCATCAGGGCCAAAGAGGAATCTGCCTCCAAACAGACCTCCCACGGCCAGTCCTGCTGGTTAATAACAGGCACCTACCAGATACTCCCAGCTTTTCCCCTTTCCAGTCACTTTCAATGCCAGCAGCTTTTCTCGCTGTTCCCTCAGAGCCTTCAATTGGGCCTGGATTTTTTCCTGAAGAAACAGAAATGATTTGGGAGGTTTTATTTGGAGGGTTGAGAAGGGTGTGGAGCTGGGTGTTTTTCCATCCAAACCCTCAGATTGGTTGGTTCTAATCACTTTGTGACATCAGGACCACCAAGGAGATGAAACCTTCTCAGTGGAGACTGGGAGTGTGTTGTATTCAGACTCGTTAGCAATTCAGGTTCAATTTTTTTTTAATTAGAGAGAGATCTCATTTGTAACCAAGCTTTTTTGGTATTTATGAATAGATTAGTAGCGTAGCGCATAACAGGACTCTGGAGTCACTTGGGGATGGATCAATAAACCTGTGTTCGAGAAGGCTTAATGAACAAAGTGATACAAATCCCAGAAGCCACCAGGGTTTAAATATGGGCTGGGATTTCAGCCCTGAAGACCTGGGGATTGCACTGGTTGGGCAGAGCTGGTCTAAACCCCAGGGCAAACCCTATGAGACATCGGGAGGCCATTCGTCTGGTTTGAAGCTGTGCAGTCCCAGTTTGGTGGAACACTATCCCTGTCCATAGGGACTTAGCACTGGACGTGGCTTTGTCCGGTGAAAATGAGAGAGAGGAGGAAACAGAGCTGGATTTACAGCTTGCGTGCTCCTGGCAGGGTCCCCACACTGCCCCCAGTAGCTGGACAGTTGTGGGGCCTTGTGTCCGAGCTCCCTTCCACTGCCTGCAGCGGCTTGGAGCTCCTACCCCCGTGGGAAGTAGGGGTACCACCACTTTTAATGTTTAGGCACCCCAGTGCCCCCTGCACAGCCCCACTACGACTTCCCAGTGCCCCCCACAGACTCCCCCACTGCCACCTCACTGCCTAGCCCTCCCCACCCCCTCACTGCCCAGAGCCACTCCACAAACCCTCCCAGACACCCAACTCTCCTGTGCCCTGCCCCCACTCACCGGCCCTAATGGGAGGTGTCTGCAGGGCTGAGCGAGGAGCCCTCCAGCAGGGTTGCGTGGGGCCGTCTCCCCCTCAGCTGGCCCCACCCCCTTCTGGGACCCAGAAGCAGCAACATTTGAAATTTTAGGTGCCCCTAGAATGCTCGTGCCCCTAGGCATGCCTACTGTGCTAATGGGAAATCCGGCCCCGGGAGGAAACTGAGGACGCATGAAGGACACCAGCGGGGGGCACCTCCATGCAGAATGACAAAGGCAGGATGGGCCCATGCAGGCAGGCGTGGGGATGTCCCGTATTCTGGGGGTGAATCTCTGGCCACCCTAATGAGAAATGCTGATTTGTATGAAGAACAGCTGGGGATTGCCCGAGTGTTGTCCTAAACCTTTTCAGAGGCCATGTCTTCTGGGTAGGTACCTCCCTATCCCATTCCCTGGTAAAGGTCCCAGAAGCAGTGGATTCTGGGAGATTTCCAAAGGCTGCAGGTGGGGCTAATGGAACCCCTTTGGCTGGTCCTTGCCCACATACACACTAGTACAGTTCAGATTGACACAGGTCAGCACCGCCAATTATTTGCTACAATCCAGTCTAATCCCCATGGTATTTGGCACAGCCCTGCGCTGTCTGGAGCCCTTTTGTGGGTGGACTCAAGGTGTTTGGCGTCCAGCCAGTGTTTAGCACAGTGATCTCCTCTAGTACAGGCTGGCATTGGAGTTTAACCCCTGATGGAGCAACACAGGAGTTCAGAATCCCAGTGAGAAACCCCATCTCCCTGCTGGGCCTGGGACCTTTATCGAGGAATCTTTCCCTCCTGATGGACAAATTTCTTCACAGGGGGCTGATGCTGAGGTGGCAGCATGGCCTACTGGTTCGGGCCATGGACTGAGACAGGGGAGAGCTGGGTTCTATGCCGAGCTTGGCCACTGACATGCTGGGTGACCCTGGGCAACTCACTGCCTCTCTTTGTGCCTCAGTTTCCCTTAACACCCTTTGTTTGTCTTACTTACTTAGACTGTAAACTGCTCAGGACAGGGACTGTCCCTCACTGTGTTTTGTGCAGGGCCCAGATCTCATTTGTGGTCTATTAGCGCTACTGTGATGCAAATAAAGATAATAATAATAAATTCTATTAAACAAATCTGTAACAACAGCTTGTAACTTCCCTTTTCCAGGCTGAAGATAACACTCACATAGACTGGCTTGCAGCTCTTGTGATTTAAACCTCACTGATCAATTAACAGCTTCAATTAACAGTGGAAGGTAGTTTTGAAAAGAATTGAAAATCTTAGAGAAAAGTTTCCCAAATCAGTTTTCTTTAAAGACTTCATTTTTTGCCTTTCTTCCCATGCTAGCTGGTCATTTATTTTGTTTCAGCATCTCCCGTACAATGACGGCTTTACAGAGTTGAATGATGTGCCACACCTGTGCCAGGTAACTTTCAGTGAAATTAGCCTGTAATTAAAATCCAAAGTTATTACCCATTAAACTGGACAGCAATTCCCTACCTTGTACTCCTGGGCAGCCTCCTCTATGGGAACCACCCTGTGAGCTCTGTGAGCCCGGGACTCTCTGCAGATCACACAGATGGGGGTTTGATCCTCTTCACAGAACAGTTTCAGAGCTTCCTGGTGTCTCTCACACACCCTGTCCCCTCCTGCTCCTTTTGCTGCCTGTAAACTCAGCCGTTTGGCAATTTCTAGGACATTTGCCAGCTGCCTGTTGGGCCTGAGGTTTCTCTGTTGCACAGTTTCTCTGCACTGAGGGCAGGAGGCGGCTGTGTCGGATCCCACCCAGCACTGGCTGATGCAGGCTCGGCAGAAATTGTGTCCACACTCCAGAGTGACAGGGTGTGTGAAATACTCCAGACAGATGGGACATGTCGCTTCCTCCTGGAGACTTTCCATGGGGTTCTCTGCAGCCATGGCTCCCTCTGGGCAGAGTACGGGGGTAAGTTTCAATTTCCTGAGTTCACACAATGCCCCGCCTGCAGCAGCAAGGAGGTGTTTCCTTTCCTGGAACTGATTCACTCTATTTGCGGACAGTGGGGTGGGAGGAGGTATTGTTTCATATTCTCTGTGTATATATAAAGTCTGCTGCAGTTTCCACGGTATGCATCCGATGAAGTGAGCTGTAGCTCATGAAAGCTCATGCTCAAATAAATTGGTTAGTCTCTAAGGTGCCACAAGTACTCCTTTTCTTTTTGCGAATACAGACTAACACGGCTGTTACTCTGAAACTCTATTTGCTGAATTGGAAAGAGCCAACTCCCAACTGGTAACACTACGGCCCTGGAGGCTTTCATGAAAAATGTACCCCTCTAGGGCTCTGGTCCTGCAATCAGCCCCCTGTGCTGGTGTGGAGGGTCACTGGGGCTTCACATGGACATCAGAATCCATCCACCTGTCCAGACGAGCTTGCAGAACTAAGGAGTGATATTTAGGCTTGGGCAGAATTCATTTGATTTAATATATCATTTTGACAGATACAATTTATTTTTAAGTATTTTTTTATATTTATTTATTTCAACTTTCACAGTTGCACAGTTTTTATCAATTTAAATGTTCACATTTGTGGGAATTTATGGGGGGGGGTCAGACAATATTTTGGTCATGCAATAATTATTTAATGACAGTAGATACTGAGATTCAACAAGTGAAAACTTTGTAACCATTAAAACACAAATTGTCAGCATCACATGTCAAAATATACTAAGTAAACATCCTTAAATCAAACTCTAATAAGTTCTCATGCAGCATTTTTCTTACTGTCCCTATTTGTAAATTTAAATGATCATCAATGGAAATTTTTTCCATCAGTTTGTGTGTGCAAAGTGAAATCAATGATTACAGACATCTGCTGCTATAATCTAATCCTTCCAAGTCTAGTCATATTAAATCCACTGGCCAAAAACTTGGTTTAGCTGGAATCAATGTTTCAAAGGCCTGATTCTCATTTACACTAATGCTGCTCTGGCTCAGTGTAAAGGGGCCACAGTGTCACCAACACTCATGATTTTACAATAAGTCTTATGATATTTGGTGTGTTTGTTAAAGCCCCAGCTCCTGGAAGTATGTGATGAGGTGAGACTCTTGGCTTTCATTTCCTAAACAAAGGAAGTTTCTAGCTCTCTTGGTTGCAGAGAAAAACTTAAAAATGTGATCCGAGTGAAGCCTAAAGGTCTGAGAAACCAGAATGCAAATAGAAAGAACTCAACATTTATTATTATTTTTATGTCTCATAAAAGGCAATCACGTAATTCTGGGGGTCCTGACTCATGATTTTTAAAGGTTTGGGAATGGCGGGACTGTGCCACTGAGAATTCAGACCTTAAATCTCTATCCACTACCCATGGAAAGCCCCCTAATTTAGCACAGATGGAGGGGGAGGGGGACCCAGAGACAGAGGATGACTTTGTGTTCACAGATGCATGCAGCCAGGAGCTCTTCTCTACCCAGGAGGAGGCTAGCCAGTCACAGCAGTCGGAGTTTGGCAAAGCGGAAACAGGACACGAGGCCTCTGGTAAGTGGCTTTGATTTTGGGAATCGCTGAAGTGAGTTGTTGGAGGGGAGGAGGGCTGGAGAAGGCGAGCTTGTGTCTGTGCGCTGAGCTTGCGGGAGGGATATGCAGAAGGCTGCCTTGCGTCTGTGCGATGCGCTTACCACCACATGCCTAGGAAAAGCGGCAGAACGGTGTTGATGGACTCCCACACTTCATGGGAATCTGCCTCAGAGATCTCCATGAAACTCTCATGGAGTAATACTGGGCAATCCACTGCCACAGGTTCTTTGGCAGAGCTGCTTTGTTTCTTGCCCCATTAAGGGTAATGTTCCCGCACCACTCAGCCATCGCTGGGCGGGGAGGGGACTGTTGCTGCACATAGGCGAGCCGCATAAGGGCCAGGGCAGAAGCCACAGGGTTGGAGAAGACCCTCCCTTGATTCCCTGCTCACCCTCAGCAGCGAGATATCTTTCATAATGAACACAGGCTGTGGAAAATGTGAGGACAGTAATGATTGTAATGCTGCCCGCCCTACAGTGCTGGCTCTCCCCAAGAGCCACGTGTCCAGTGCACATTAGTGTCCTGGAACATTGAATTCCCCTGTGGTTACTCACCATTTTAGGGGTCTTGTGGCTCATGTGTACTTGCCTGGGATCAGCCAGTTAGGGATAGGTATTTGAATAGAAGTTGTGTTTTAAAACACTGATTCAGTGCTCTGTGTGTTGCAAACAATAGTGCATCTGTACAATGTTGCATTTTGGCTTCACAGATCTGACCTTGAGAGCCCAGCCTCCCTCTTTGTTATCACCAGCTCAATGGCTGCACAGGATTAGAAAGTGGCCACGAAAAACTAGAGAGGACTTTCCCCATGAAGTTATGCAGCACTCCGCGGTCAAAAAACAAGAATTGAAGGAGTGGCGGGACAGCAAGTGCCCCCCTCTCCCGACACTGCCAATGCACTCTTATCAACATCCTGGCTCCAGTCCTACCCACTGCATTCCGTACCTGCCCCCTCACAGTCCACCCTGAGGACACCCAGTATCCACTGCACTTAACACCCATTACTCTGCAGTTTAGCTCTGCTGAAGTACAGTACCTGCTGCACTCTACTCCAGTGGACAAGGCTGCATATGATTCCTGGACATACACAAATCTTTAACTGACCCGGGACCCCACCTCCTCCTGGGACCTTCACTTCCCCCATCCCCTACAGTGCTGATGAGGCTTTTGGTTGTCTCTCTCCTCTGATTGCTATTGTTTAATAAAAGAATAGTTTTGGTTTGAAAACAATCTTTATTCTACTAACTGAAAGCAAACATAGCCCTGCAAAGCAACAGGCAATTTTATTAAACCATCACAGTGCATCGTCCACACCAATCCAAATTACCTACTAGCATTACAAGCATTGAACTCCTGAGCATAGCAACAGACATTATTAGCTTTCAGCTTACAATTGCTATCTCAAGTCATCCCTGATCCTTATGGCCCCATGCTGTGCCCCTCTAATAGCCTGGTGTCTGGATGTTCAAATTCAGCTGCCAGACACTGAGCCTCAGTGGTCCAGCCCTAAGTGAAGCTTTCACCCTTCCCTTCACAAATATTATGAAGCGTACAGCACACGGCTATAAGCGTAGGAATATTGTCATTGGCTAGGTCCAGTCTCCCATATAGGCAGCGCCAGCGGGCCTTTAAATGGCCAAAAGCACTCTCAATAGTCATTCTGCACTTGCTCAGTCTGTTGTTGTACCACTCCTTGCTGCTGTCAAGATTCCCTGTGTATGGCTTCACAAGCCACGGCATAAAGGGGTAGGCAGGGTCTCTCAGGATCACAATGGAGATTTTGACTTCCCCATGGTGATCTTCTGGTCTAGGAAGAAAGTCCCTACTTGCAGCTTCCGGAACAAGCCAGTGTGCTTTTCAGTCTAACCAGGAGAAATGTGAGGATGTCTGGGAATGAGACAATCTCACTCCAAAGGGGAAGCTCAGGGTCAATCTAGACTAGAAAAAGAGATGGAGACACAAAGGAGACACACTAGCTAATCCCAACCACTTTTTCCGCCCTAGATAGACACTCGGAGATTGATATTATCCCTCCCCATTTATTCCCTCTCTGGAAGACACAGTTTTGTCTCAGGTCACCCCGCAAGCTGCTGGCAGAGTTGGGAACAGAGTTTAGATCTCCGGAGTCCCAGGCCAGTGCTCTATCCACTAGGAAACACTGCTTCCCTCTCAGAGGCCGATGCTGCAGTAGCAGAGGTGGGAAATCCAGACTTCCAATGAAAGGCCCTGTGGGAATCAGTCTCTCCTAATGGTGCTGTTTGAATGCAGAGGGGGCAGGGAGAAGGAGCAGAGCGGGAGAGTGATGAGAGGGAGCACCTCTCTACCCCTGTGCTCTCCCTCGCCTCTTATCTCATGATCCCCAAACACTCGATCGCCCCAGCACCCATCTCCCCATTTCCCAGCTCCACCAGCCTCGACCATTCAATACCCAGTTTCCTCCCCCTAACCCATCACCCTGGTCCCTTAATGTTTGATCCCCCAGAGCCCAGCGCCCTGGGAGATTTGGGGAGGGGAGGAGTTACCAGCTGCCAGGGACACTCACTCTTCATGGAACAGCCCCAGGTAAGTCGGGGAGCCCAGCCCAGGGCTGGTAGAAAATGGGGGATGGGGACAAGTGTCTAGAGTGAAGGCCCAAGTGTCGTTCTCCTCATCTCCATGGCAGGGGGATCCTGGCTGGGAGTGGAAGGGAGAGGGGGGAACTTCAGTCAGGCAGAGGGAGCATCTGAGGAGTTTCTCTCTCTCACTTCCCCGCCCTGTGGCCCATCAGCTCAGCAACCAGGGCTGCAGGAGGGAGGAGGGGCTTCTCCTCCTCTGCCTGGGGTTTGCTTAGACCAGGAAGAGCCAGAGGGTCACTTACTAGCTGCTGCTCGGCTGCTGCTGGATCCTCACCGCAGTGATGGGCAGCTGGATCCTTGGGAGCCAAATGCCCCTGATGTGTGTGGGAACGAGGAAATGGATTTGTCACCATGGCCAGCCCCAGTCAGGGCCCTGAGAGAATTTCCCTGCTGTGTGGAGGAGTCTCTGATGTCCAATGTGGTGTTTGTAGAACTTGGAGCATTTTCCATGCTGAGAACATCTGAGAGGATTTGCGGATGCCTGATACTCCGGGAGCACCAAATGAAGCTTCCCCCACATTCAAGGCCTCTGTGTTGTGTGGCTCACTGAAGTGTGAAGTCAAATTGAATCTTTTCCTTCGATCAAGCTATTCCTAGGGTCTCTCAGCTTTGTGGATTCTCTGATGTTTGGTGAGCTCTGAGCTCTTATTGAAACTTTTCCCACAGTCTAGGCATTTATAACGTCTCTCTCCTGTGCGGATTTTCCTGTGTTTAGTAAGGTATGAGCACAGACTGAAAGTTTTCCCACTCTCCAGGCATTTATGGGTT